TCCTGCTCAATGAGGCAGAAGGAAAAAATATTCCATATAAAGGTTTTCCTCTGACATTCACAAACATGTTGTGGCATGGTCTCTCTCTCTCTCTCTCTCTCTCTCTCTCTCTGTTTCACACATGCACACACACAAACACACACACACAAAATCAAAGAATAAATAAATAAATAAATATTAAAGAAGAAGTTCCAAAGAATTAAAAAGTTTATAAAGCCCAAGAATTAAATTAGGGAGCTGGAGAGATGGCTCCGTGGTTAAGAGTACTGGCTGTGTTTCCAGAGGTCCTGAGTTTAATTCCCAGCACCCACATGGTGGCTCACAACCATGTCTAGTGTGATCTGATGCCCTCTTCTGGCATTAAGTCATACATGCAGCATTTGTATACATAAAATAAATAAATAAATCTTTAAAAAAAATAATTAAATTAGGCAAATTCACATATGAAAGGTGACCTGGACCACAGAGCAAGATGTCCCAGCAACTTTGCCCTGGAGGCAAAGTCTGGGCAGAAGTCACTGGGGGATGAAACACAGAAATGCTGTAAAAAGGAACAGAAGTTTCTCATAAGATGGTTTCAGATTTATTCTTCCTGTGAAGCATGATGAGAAATGCTGGGGTATTTGACAACAAATGATACAGAATGGGGAGAAACTAGAGAGAAATGCCAACATAGAAAACAACAGAGGACTAGAAAGAAAGTGCACAAAACGTGAAGATAGTAGAGAAAAAAGGCAGGCTTTTAAGGAGAGAAGAAAGGGCTATGGTGATTAGGAAAAAAGCTCCATGCCACCAGGTAGTCACAAGCACAGAGAAAACAAGAACACTCACCCATTCGGTCAGCTACAGTCATTATCACCTAGTCAACCACTAAATAAGCATTTCAGTTGGCCTTCCAGGTTGTTATCCTGGATTCTAGAGTTCTATGAGTGACAAAAACAAGGTCCTGGTGGAATGGAGTTCATATCCTACTGTCTGAGTCAGAGAAACCCATCTAGTTACATTTTTGTTGCTGTGACAAAACACAAGACAAACGCTATTTAAAGAAAGAAGGGTTTGGTTCAGCTCACTGTTTAAGGGGATACAGTCTATCCAGGTGGGTAAGTAGTGGGTAAGTCCTGGTGGCAGGAAGGTGAAGCAGCTAGCTACATTGTATCCACATCCAGGAAGCAGAGAAGAGTGAACATTGGTGCTCAGCTCCCTTTTCATGCAGCCCAAGACCCCAACCTATGGAATGGCGCCACCCACATTCAAAGTGGGTCTTCCCTCCTCAGTTTAGAAAATCTCTCACAGACATGACTAGCTTTTTGTCTCCATGGTGACTCTGGATCCTGTCAAATTGATATCAGGATTAACCACACACATCCTCAGCATGACTGGCTCCACCCTGGTGCTCTGGATAAATGGGACCAGGGATAGCCTTCTCCAGCTGTGCACACCCCCCAAAAAAGCATCACCAGGAACCTGGGAGAAAGGGATCGGAGAAGCTGAGTTTGGGGAATAAGTTTGGGGAATTCAAAGAAGACTGTGTGTGGTAAGGTCTGGGCAGGGGAGGAGACAGTGGGGACAAGAAATGTTGGGAACTGGGTATTAGTAACTTTTCCAAGCTCTATGCCCACTCCGGGCATGCTTGCTAAGAGAGGGAAATGAAATGAAGAAAGAGTAAGGATGTGGCTAGTACACAAAGGAGAACACAGCCCCCTGGGATCTTTTCTCTGCCAGTGGGAAGCTGCTAGTAGAGGTACTATTCTGCATCCTTGCCCTGGCACAGCCCATCAGCAGCTACTCAGAGAGATTCACATGTATCTTCTCTGAAGCAAGAACAATGCTCTATGCAAGGCAGGAGATCCAGCCACTGGCCTCGGAGGAAATCATCAGATTGAGAGTTGGCAAGCATACACTAGGTTTAGACACATCCCGATACTGTCACACACTCAATGGAATAAACCAAATGGTGCTGTTTATGGAAAGGTCTTTGGCCCGGAAATATCTCCCACTCACTGTTTGAACAGCCAATATTCAGAGATGTTCTTGGATTAAAAAGAAAATGTTTCTGAAGAATTGAGGCTGGAGAAGGTCTTACATCCAAATTTTAATATGATGATTTAAAAAAAAAAAAAAACAACAACTAAATCCTTTTCTTGCCTTTTATCTCAGCTGCAGGAAAAACAAATGGCTTGTTTTGAGAGGTAAGAGTAGAACCAAGAGCTGCATCACCTGCTGACAGAGTGGGCACAGCATGGAGACCCCAGAAAGAGAGCGGAGGAACTTAGCCTGTGGGTCAACTAGACCCAAGGTTAAGGAAGTGGGGTCAGGGAGAATACAGAGGTCCAGAAATTGAGGAGTAAAAGGAAGAGGACGAATTATGAATGCAAACCTGGAATCTAAGCAGAAATAGCATCCTTAAAGGAACTGAGGCTCTCAAATCACTTTAATAGCTTCATGTCCAGAGGGCTTACAGGCTGTATGGTTGCTGCTGTTAGCTAAAAATTCTCCAGATAAGGAAAATACTTCCCCCTGTCTAGCTGACTTGTTTGTAGTGCAGTCTCCAGATGTAGTGGGTTTTGCTATGCCCAGCTCATCTCTGCCATCAGTCATTAAGCCTGGGAAAAGGCAGAGGTTGTGAAATGGGTTACCTTAATCATATTGCTGTCACTGTGAGAGAGAAATATTGAACAATATATAGACATTGGGATGCAAAATGAAATTTTCCCTAGAATTGACCATATTTGCACAAAGCCATTCATCCTGTTAGCATAGACCACTTTCTCTGCTCCCAAATGAAGTTTGAAAAGCTTGATTCTAATGCAGCCTTCTCTGGCTACTCATCTCACTCTTCATGGATGCTCTTCTCTTCCTAAGAAGTGTATTATTCTAGGAGATTCTGAAAGTCCAAGAAATTGCACTGCCTAGTGTCAAGTATTTGCCCTCCCAGAGACTACCTGAATGTCCTTGGTTGAGTTGAGTTATTCAACCACATTAAATGACAATTTATTTGTTAGAAAAAAATAGAACTAGTGATACTAAGTATGTAACTTGGTATGTGGGCACCTGTTTAGATGCAGGTGTGTGTGTGTGTGTGTGTGTGTGTGTGTGTATATATACTTACATGTGTATGGGCATGAGTGTGAAGGTCAGAAGGCAACTTTGGGTCTTGTTTCTTAGGCACCATCCTCTTTGTGTGCGGAGGAGTGGGAAATAAAGTCTCTCCCTGGCCTAGATCTCACTAAATAGGTTAGGCTGGTTGACCAGAAAACCTCAAGGATCCACCTGTTGCTACCTCCTTAGTGCAGGGTTGAACATGTGCCAACACACCTGTATTTTTTAATGTGAATTCTAGGCACCAAAGTCAGGTCCTTATGCTTGCAAGACAAACATTTTACTGACTGAGCCATCTCCTCAGCCCAGAAGTCATATAACTCACAATATGACTGATAATGATTAAATTATATGCAAAACTTAGGCACACTGCCTCACTCAAGACAGATAATTATAGACTCTAAACTTTGTTTTAATAATTATACTGCACTGAAAACTTGGAACCTATAGAATAAAACTTCCTCAGCTCTATGGTTTTCCAAAGTCTAACTCCTGTGTGTCTATGATTACTTGGAGACATGTTAAACTTGACAAGATTTATACTTCGGTGATAAATATTCCCATCATCCATTGCACCATTCTGTCTGTTTTGACTTCTATGGCATGTAAGTTTTGTCTCTGACTGAGCTCAGGATACTGCGGCTGAAGCACTCTGTAAGAGCATCCAGCATGCATGCCATGTGTCCTGACTCTGATGGGTATGCAGCTCAAAGAGAAAGAGAGAAAATCAAAACCAGTCTTCTCAGCCTGGATACAGGAGGTGGCTCATGAAATCCCACCCTCAACTGAGGACCTTTCAGTACCTGATGGCTGCTGGAGGAAGCAGGGCATCCTTTTCTTCAGGAATGCATCCCCTGACAGGCTGTGTACATACAGCACATACAGCGAGTTATAGGAAGAGTACATGAACTTGGGAGGGGAAAGAGGTGAGGATATGGGAGAAGTTGGAGGGGATGATGTATGAGTGGATTTGATCAAAACATGTATGTGAACTTCTCAAACAATAAGTTAAAATAATAACGCTAAAGACCTTAGGCTGAAAGAAAGGAAAACAAGTTGCGTGGAGCCACGAGGAAAAGTTTCACTCAACCTCCCGCTTTGTTCAGAAGAAAAACCTGAAGCCCACAGGTGTCATAATGACTGCCCCAAAGTCACTGCCTTAAGTGGACATAAACCTGTTACCTGTAGGGAGGGAAGAAACGAAAGCAGCTGAGGAGTGGAAAGGGGTAAGAGAGACAGGACTGTGAAGCTATTCTTACAACCCTTCTGAAAAGAATGAAGAGGAACATTGGGGGGGGGTACATAAAATCATACAATGCCTTTTCAGGGAACTAGTAAATGTCTGGGGTGGAAAAAGAGGGCTCTGGGCTGGATGATCTAGAACCTTATGCTCACAGAGACATGATCGGGTAATCATTTTTTTTTTTTTTCTGTGTAATAGTCCTGGCTGTCCTGGAACTCACTGTAGACTAGTCTGGCCTCTAACTCACAGAGATCTGTCTGTCTCTGCCTCCTGAGTGCTGGGATTAAAGTTGTGTACCGCCACACCCAGCTGGGGTAACCACATTTTAATATGGGTGTGGGTTTGAATGTACCCCTACCTTAGTTTATTACTCAGGCAAAAACCGTGTGTCTAGAGTCTACCAAAATGGGATGCTGCACTAAGGCTTGGAGGATCATTCTGGACCACTGAGAAAGGGGGCAGGTACAGCCCCACCTGTCTGAAATGGTCTTTCAAATCATAACGAAGGGTTTTCTAGCAAATGTGGGACACTTGCAAGCATCTGGAAGCTTTGGAAACTTTTTGAAGATACAAAAAGTTGTGTGTTGGTTTGTAGTTCTAACCGACTGGCCCCCTTGACTTGCCAATCATGTATATAACCCTTCGTATTCTCTTCCAGGTTCCTTCTTCCCGGATTTCAAGCCCTCGGAAACTGTTTTCAAAATAGTATTTTGGCTTGGGTACCTAAACAGCTGCATCAACCCCATCATATACCCATGCTCCAGTCAGGAGTTCAAGAAAGCCTTTCAGAATGTCCTGAGAATCCAGTGTCTCCGCAGACGGCAATCTCAGCACGCCCTGGGCTACACCCTGCACCCGCCCAGCCAGGCCCTAGAGGGACAGCACAGAGACATGGTGCGTATCCCCGTGGGCTCCGGAGAGACTTTCTACAAGATCTCCAAGACAGACGGAGTCTGTGAGTGGAAGTTTTTCTCTTCCATGCCCCAGGGATCGGCCAGGATTACAAGGCCGAAGGACCAATCTGCCTGTACCACAGCCCGGGTGAGAAGTAAAAGCTTTTTGCAGGTCTGCTGCTGTGTGGGGTCCTCGACCCCCAGCCTTGAAGAAAATCACCAAGTTCCAACCATTAAGATCCACACCATCTCTCTCGGTGAAAATGGGGAGGAAGTCTAGAGGATGGGAAAGGTCACAGGAAGAGGGATGACACTAGGTACTGCCACTCAGAAGGCCAGTGAATTCCTCTTGAAGAACACCATTCAAGGAGGTCCCCATCTGGGAAAGGGGAGAGGGAGGGTACCAGCTCATTGGGCATGTGAGTAGGGCACAGGGTAAGAGGCAGGGTGTGTGGTAGCTAACTGGTTCTGGATGATGAAGGTCCATTTCCCTTCAGCCCAAACCCTCAGTCATTCTCTGATCCCTCTTTCCACAACTGACCCTTTCAACAAGAAATACCATGGGAAAGAAAATTTCGTACACAATCCAAAAGACTATAAATACAGGATGATGATTTCATTGTGAATATTTTGAGCACACACTCTAAGTTTGGAGCTATTTCTTGATGGAAGGGAGGGTATTTTATTTTCAGGCTGAATCTACTGGCAACTACATTTGACATTTATGAAGAGGGGACCTAGACAGAAAGGCGTGTAAGGTAGTGACCAACATGCTTTTAGAGCAAGTTTGGAAATGCCACCAGCTCCTCAGCTTGGTTGAACCTGGACAGGGGGCTTCCCAGAGGTTGTTTTCTGATGGATTCCTTATTCCCATTTGAAACTGAGGTGCATTCTCCACCCTTGGATCTAAGGAGTATGGCTAGGACTGACCAGGGACAGCATACTTTTCTCAAGGGGCAGCAGTTGCAAGACCTGCTGAAGGAAGGCTCTCTTCTTTTACCTTCTTAAAGAGCAAGAAGCTGGAATGGGATGACTGCTAATATCAGGCTGATCCCCTCTTGTTCTGCAGTCTCTTTGATATGACAAACCACTTGCCTTTTCCAGAACTCCATAATGGAAATCCAGGAATGGCAGAATCCTGGCTTCCATTACCTCTCCTGAGCTTCACTGCTATGTAGCCAATGTAGTTCATTTGTGGCGTGTAGAATGAGTCTTAGGGTCCAGGGAAGCTTCTGAGCTTCCAAACACACTGACGCTTACCCTCAAACACTTTAGTTGATTGTTAAACTGCCCAAATTGACTCCTACTTTTTGCAGAACCTTGGAGAATGTGCTATATTTTCTCTTGCTTTCTGTATACTGAATCCTTGCATCCTCAATTCACATTATTATGAATGGTAACTATGGTAATCACACATGAAAATTAAAACATGCCTGTTGATCCGCCATAAGAATTGTAAAATAAGGTTTAATGTTTACGACACCAGACCTAATAAGAATCGCCACTACCAACGTTTTTTTAATAACTTCTTCCCTTATCTAACATATTTCACCCAAGAGCTTCAGAGCAGGTCGAAGTTATTGTGAAACCTTCACAGGGAGGCTCCTGGCCCCCATAGCTTTCCTTTTCTCCCTTATATCAAACTGGTGTAATTCTTTCTAAAGGCAAATCTTCATCCACATTGCAGCAAAGAAAATGCATGCATGAGGCTGTGGGTTTTGTGATTGGTTGTCCTGGGACTTTGAATCTGATCTGCTTCCTCCACCTTTTCCTGGGCTGTGTCTTCTTGTTGGCCAGCAAGATAATTACTTGGCCTTGTGTTCTGAACTTGGCTGCTGCCACTGAGAAGTTGGCTGGGATTTTAGGCTGTCTTGGGCTCTCTGCATGCCTCCTAACATCTCTACCAGATGTGGGTGTTAAAGCATCTAGGGAGAACTTGAGTGTGCAAGCCTGGCTCATTTCTCTCTAAGCTTCACTGTTACAATTAACTTCCTTCTAAATATGAATCCTAGAACTGACTCTCGTTCTTGTCATCCCCTCATAGAAGAGCATCCTGGTGGGAAGAGGGATCATAGCTTTTCTTCAGCAAGGTACCGCCCATGTTACCAATGATTTTTAAATCCCTTGGTGGAAAAATGCAAATGGTTAAAAGCTACCATTGATGCTAGAAAAATCTTCAAGCCCTCTGATAAAAACCGTGGCAATCATATCCCATGTGGAGTTATCCATAACTCCATGGCATCCCTCCCTCTAAGGAGGCAACTATCTAACAGCTTTTTCCATTCCCACAGCAGGGTACTGAATAGAAACACAGCAACTTTGTAAGAAATTGATAATGTCACCAAAACATGGTAACAAAAGTGGGGTAAACATCATAAACGTGGAATGGCTTTTTAATCATCCACCACAAAAAAAAAAAAAAAAGGTCTGTACCTTTAAGTGTGCCAAAAACTATCTAAAATGGTTACAGCCAAACAAATGATTGTCATATTTATATTCACGTGTTTACTGCTTCTATTTGGAGTTTGAGGAATTTACCCAGAGTAACCCCAGTTAAAATGTCCTCTCTTGTGTGTTCTAAAAAAAAAAAAAAAAAAAAAAAAAAGATCGCTTTGGGATTATCTCTATGTCGCAAAATCAATGGGGCATTATGATAGGCGACTTTGAGGCTAGTGTGAGATTCCGACTGTGTGTATGAAGAGGGACCTTGGATCTCATTACTTAAAACTTTCTCCAGGGCATCAAAGATGTAGCTCAGTCGGTGGAGTGCTTGCCTGACATACACATCCCAGTAGCACCCTAAAACTGAGAGCCGTGGCTCATGACTATAAAGTCAACATTCATGCGTTGCAAACAGGAGAATGAAGAATTCAAGGTCAACTTTGAATACTTAGTTTGAGCCAGCCTAGATTACATGAGACTGTCTCAAAAAGAAAAAGAAAAAACAAACAAAAAGAAAGAAAGAAAGGAAGGAAGGAAGGAAGGAAGGAAGGAAGGAAGGAAGGAAGAAAGAAACCATTCCAGGCTATACCACTGCAAGGAAACCGCTTTACTTGCCATAGTCTCATTCAAGCATGCTTCTGCATGGAGTCGCTGGAATCACTCTGCATGCCACACACTTAACAAGGCACTGCGGCTTCACACTCTCATCGGTGATTCGGGTTGGTCTATACAAGATAGACAGTGACACCTGAGTTCTAAGCACTCCTTGCGGTGCTTCTGTTAGCTTCAATGTATGCCTAATCCTCCAGAAACTCTTCCATTACCATTTTTTTAAATGAAACTGATGGCTGAGAAGGCTTTGAGGACTTACCCACAGTCAAGAAGGAACTGTAGCTCAAACCTGAGTTTGCCCCTAGGTGTTCACGTTCTGTGTAGTACCTCTGCTTCACACACAGGGAGAGGAGAGTTTGAATTGAATATTCTCAGGAGACTATTCCACTCCCAAGCTTTAATGCAATTTATTCCCTTAGGGTTTTTCTACAAATTAATCTCAGCAGACACACCACCAAACCTTGTGTCTACAATTCCAACTATTAGCAAGCATCCCCCCTCTCCAGGACATAGTGCTCTCAGATATGGTGAAAGCCTTACAAAGAGGACAGGTTCTAGCAAACCAGAACAAGGTGAGCATATAACAGAACATAGAATAGTTGGCTAAGAATAAAAAATCCCAGTGATAGATAGGACTCATGCTGGGTGGTGTGTGGAAGCCCTGGACTGCCAATCATGGTTAACATGAACACAAACAAATACAACACGTGTTTTCACTCACCTAAATTCCAACCTTTATTTTACAAGTTAGCAAAAAGGGAAGAGGCTAGTGGCATCCCACCAGGAATTGCAGAGCGTGTACCGGGCACGTGATTTTCTTGGACGCCACTCAGAATGCTGGTCTCTGCGTACCCAGAGACTGTGGCAGTTTTTGAAGACAGGCCATTGGTAGGCAGCTATGCATCCTAGCTTGCTTCCTTTTCTATATGAACCATCATGAAGACTCTTTAGCCCAGTGGGTTTTGGGGTGAAAGCCTGGGAGCCAAACTCTTTTAGGAACCATTTTCTTGGGCAGGTAATTGTTCATGTGTTAATCACCACTTCTTAATCACCACTAACAAGCATTCCTAATTGCTTCTGGGGACATCTCTGTCCCCATCCTCTTGCCAAAGTATGATGCTGTATCTCCGATGAATGCTTGCTGACTTAATTAAGGGAAGAGATGGGCTCATCAGCGAAGGGAAAAGTGAACAGGTGGAAGGCAACGATGAAAGGCAGTTGAAAACCAGGGTGACAAGAGAAGACAAAGGTAGCAGGTGTACAGGCATCAGAGATGCTCACTCGTCACTCTGGTCTCTTTTTTTACACTACCAGGGCTTTTAACCGTGAAATCACCTGTACGGTACACAGCTCCAAAAGAGCCCAGTTGGAACACTGCACCTGCTCTGGGCCTCCAAACTATGCTGAGGAGCTGGGCTGAGGCCACATCTTCCAAAAGTCATGGCACCAGTGGCCTCTGGCCCTCCAAGGTCCCTGCAAGATGAATGAGTGGATATGGCTGCTGTGGGGCCTGGGCTGGGAAATGAGCTAGGATTTCAGCATATGAAGCCAGCCCCTGTCCACAGGTGCCATTGACAGGCTCTCGTTCATGCTTCCCAGATCCTATGACATATGAGTGAGGCTAGAAAGAGCCTTACCTGCTCTCTGCAGGAGAATGTTATTTTTATACTGCCACCGCTGAACCTCCAAAGGCTGTAGGGGTGGCAGGGAGCATTGAGGGAGGAGATTGACCACAGCCACAGCTCAAAGCTGAGAGGGTTAGTCATGCTTTGCAGAAACTGACAAGAAAGGAACTGTCCTGAAACTGGTGGCTTCTTCCAAAAGGCCAAATAATGACCTTTTCTTTCATGTGGTATGGGAGCTATTGCCATGCTGCCCCTGTAGCACACTCAGTGCAGTGGCATTATAAGCTGGGGTTGATGATTGCTGAACCATGAAAAACACAGACTTAATTAGGTGGGGAAAAATCTTAGCACAACTTACCACTGCATTTAGAGAAAAAAAATATGATGAACATCCTGGCCTATGAAACAGGCTGAATAAAGTAAGTGCATTTGAATGTCACAGAGAGTCAGGCAAGACAGAAATTCCAACATGAATTTAATGTTTCCGTATGTATGTATATATATGGAAATATTATATATATGGACACGTGTATCACCACGTACGTATCAAACCTTTCTCAGGTCATTCCTGTGTGGAAGAATGAAAAGGAAGGAGCTTTTGTCTACATTTGGCATGTGAAGAAACAGAAATCATGAGTTAGGGATTTCTTTGCATAACCTCATATCCACCCTTTATCCACAATGCTTCCATGCTCCCAATGTCCGCCATGTATTTTGACTCTTTGACTTTCATAGTGCCCTTCTTCAGTTCCAGTTCGTAACTCCAGCTTTGTCCACATCTTCCTCCTCCTATCCTGGCCAACAAGTGGGAAGAACTTGTAGTACGGGGTCAGCCACTCTTGTTTCCCTGGCGAACAGACAGGCACATGTCATTCTCTTCTGTCTCCATAGATAAGCTGCTACGGATCTGGAGAAGTAGCCAGGGGCAGACGGCTGTTGCTCTGCTCAATAGGGTGACATGTAAGGCAAAGCCAGCTGTGACTGTCATCCTAAGGTCCTCAGGAACACACAGGTTCCAAAGGAAACCTCTGATCAACAGTCCCAGATGGCTTCTTTCCACTGCATCACCCTAGCATGAAACCAAAGGCAGGTGCAGACAGTCCCCAGTGTACGAGCTGGCAGGGTTCTGAGTTGAGGTGTTCAGAAGTCAAGTGTGTGTTTTTCCAAGAGGCATTGTTATAAATGGGGAGGTGTCCCTAGAGGAACCAAAAATAAATAAATAAACATCTGTTTAATGTATACCAGGAGTTGGCAAACTTTTTCTGTAAATGGTTAGATGATAAATATCTCAGGCATGATGGACTATACATTCTCTGTTTCAACTCTTTGGTGGGAGGTTGTGGACAGACCTTTAAAAATGTAGAGCCAAGAGACAGTAAGGTGTGGGACCAGGTTTAGCCCAGGGGCTGCAATTTTCCATCCACGCTCCACGCCACCACTAGCTTGTGGTGTAGAGCCAAAAGTACTAAACTGTGGCTGTAGCTGATCAGCATGATTATAAAAAAATAGGTCACTGATGTATCTCCCCTGAACTAAATCAACATTCCCAACCACTGTGAGTTGTTATATAGGGCCACCAGTTCACATCTTCATGATTTCCAGGCAGATGGTAGGAGCAAAGAAGCACTTGCCCCTTCCCCCATTGTGCCCTGTGGGACAGGCAAGTCAACAGAAGCCACGGTGAGTCCAGGGGTCTTCCATGACATCTGTCCAACTCAGAAAAGTCACATGACCAAGACTGCCCTGAAATTTATTCCTGGGCCTCAGAACTCAACAGAGTGGAGATTCCCAGAAGTCTTTGGGGCTTCTTGAAGAGGCCGGGTGTTTGGAAAGGTGACAGAACACAAACAACATCTTCCATGAGATAAATGGGAATAGAATTTTCTTCCGTGTCTCCTTCCTTCTATGCATCCCTTCCTGTTTCTCCGTTTTTCTGTTAAGTTAAAATCACTAATGGGAAAGAAACTGCTCCACTATAAGAAAATACACTTAGCGCTCCCTGAGAACCGTAAAAAGCACGTTTCCCTGAGCAAGCACTTCAATGGAGGACCCCCTTCCTTTCCTCTCTAGTCCAGATGCAAATAAGACTCAGATCACATGACTTGGTGCAGCATCTGAGTATTGAGGAAGGAGACTTTATGGCTGGGCTTTGGGTAGGACAGTGGAGGCAGATGCAGTCTGGAAAGATCCAGAACTATTGTCACCATCCAGTAAAAGCACCACAACCAACCTGAGCATGGAAAGGAAGGCATGAGTGGGCGCTGGGTGGCAGCTTCCCTTCCTGGCTCTTTCTCCCACCTCTTGTATATATACCCTTTGCCTTTCCATTCTTTGCTGATTCCATTCTCCCCTCCCCCCCCCATAAATCAAAGCTCCACTCCTGCCAGCCTTGCAGACAAGGAAAGGTGTTTCATTAGCCCCCCCCCCTCCCCACTGTAGGATATGTGCCCTCTACTGTGAGGAAGAAAATAAGTTCCCAAAGCAACCACAGTAATTTTGGCCATGAGCCTGGTCCAGGAATGAAGCCAGCAAGGGGAGAGCATCCTGTGGCCCTGGTCCTTCCAGGACCTTGAGCCTCCCCTTGGATTTCTGCCTTTCTGTTCTTGGGCGATCCATCCCACCTGAAGGGTACAAACACACTATGCAGCTGAATTTCAGGGGAGCTGTGTCTTGCAATGGTTTCTGAGTACTTCTAATCCACCTCTCACAATCAGGACATCTGTCCCATGTTCTAAGAGTCAACTTTTATTCCCCATCATCACCTTTTGTCTTTCCTTTTGTTCTCTCTTTCTTATGAACTTTCCCTCTGAGGAGTTCACTAGGGCCTTCAAGGCCATGATGAATGCATAAAGTTAACTCAGTTTCCCTTCCCACTGAGCAATGACTGATCCACCAGGAGGCACACCCTAAGCAGGACTGTCCACGGGGACGCTGTTTCTTCCAAGGCTCTATTCCTTGTTCTTCCCACACACCATCCTGTGTGATCTAGGATTACCCTTCTCATTTACCCTACCCTTGAACTAGGGAACCATCTTCCCTGAAGAGTCCCACATGCTTGTTCCTGATCTTGTGACAGCTTCAGCATTTGTATCCTCACATCCATTTCTCAGGCCCAGTAATACAGACTTGTGCAGCTTCAGCAACATCCGATGGCGTCCTTACAGTCCTGGATGCTAGAAATCCAAAACCAAGGCATTAGCCAGCTGTGTGGCCATGTCTTCTTCAACCCATGTTGACTTCCCCCTGAATTTCCATGTGGTCCTCTACTTCTTACAAAACAATGGTCACATTGGATGATA